CTCTGTAGTAGGGACTAGTAAACTAACCTCTCTACAACGTTCTCCTCTGTAGTAGGGACTAGTAAACTAACCTCTCTACAACGTTCTCCTCTGTAGTAGGGACTAGTAAACTAACCTCTCTACAACGTTCTCCTCTGTAGTAGGGACCAGTAAACTAACCTCTCTACAACGTTCTCCTCTGTAGTAGGGACCAGTAAACTAACCTCTCTACAACGTTCTCCTCTGTAGTAGGGACTAGTAAACTAACCTCTCTACAACGTTCTCCTCTGTAGTAGGGACTAGTAAACTAACCTCTCTACAACGTTCTCCTCTGTAGTAGGGACTAGTAAACTAACCTCTCTACAACGTTCTCCTCTGTAGTAGGGACCAGTAAACTAACCTCTCTACAACGTTCTCCTCTGTAGTAGGGACTAGTAAACTAACCTCTCTACAACGTTCTCCTCTGTAGTAGGGACTAGTAAACTAACCTCTCTACAACGTTCTCCTCTGTAGTAGGGACTAGTAAACTAACCTCTCTACAACGTTCTCCTCTGTAGTAGGGACTAGTAAACTAACCTCTCTACAACGTTCTCCTCTGTAGTAGGGACCAGTAAACTAACCTCTCTACAACGTTCTCCTCTGTAGTAGGGACTAGTAAACTAACCTCTCTACAACGTTCTCCTCTGTAGTAGGGACCAGTAAACTAACCTCTCTACAACGTTCTCCTCTGTAGTAGGGACTAGTAAACTAACCTCTCTACAACGTTCTCCTCTGTAGTAGGGACCAGTAAACTAACCTCTCTACAACGTTCTCCTCTGTAGTAGGGACCAGTAAACTAACCTCTCTACAACGTTCTCCTCTGTAGTAGGGACTAGTAAACTAACCTCTCTACAACGTTCTCCTCTGTAGTAGGGACCAGTAAACTAACCTCTCTACAACGTTCTCCTCTGTAGTAGGGACTAGTAAACTAACCTCTCTACAACGTTCTCCTCTGTAGTAGGGACCAGTAAACTAACCTCTCTACAACGTTCTCCTCTGTAGTAGGGACTAGTAAACTAACCTCTCTACAACGTTCTCCTCTGTAGTAGGGACTAGTAAACTAACCTCTCTACAACGTTCTCCTCTGTAGTAGGGACTAGTAAACTAACCTCTCTACAACGTTCTCCTCTGTAGTAGGGACCAGTAAACTAACCTCTCTACAACGTTCTCCTCTGTAGTAGGGACCAGTAAACTAACCTCTCTACAACGTTCTCCTCTGTAGTAGGGACTAGTAAACTAACCTCTCTACAACGTTCTCCTCTGTAGTAGGGACCAGTAAACTAACCTCTCTACAACGTTCTCCTCTGTAGTAGGGACCAGTAAACTAACCTCTCTACAACGTTCTCCTCTGTAGTAGGGACTAGTAAACTAACCTCTCTACAACGTTCTCCTCTGTAGTAGGGACTAGTAAACTAACCTCTCTACAACGTTCTCCTCTGTAGTAGGGACCAGTAAACTAACCTCTCTACAACGTTCTCCTCTGTAGTAGGGACTAGTAAACTAACCTCTCTACAACGTTCTCCTCTGTAGTAGGGACCAGTAAACTAACCTCTCTACAGACGTTCTCCTCTGTAGTAGGGACTAGTAAACTAACCTCTCTACAACGTTCTCCTCTGTAGTAGGGACCAGTAAACTAACCTCTCTACAACGTTCTCCTCTGTAGTAGGGACCAGTAAACTAACCTCTCTACAACGTTCTCCTCTGTAGTAGGGACTAGTAAACTAACCTCTCTACAACGTTCTCCTCTGTAGTAGGGACTAGTAAACTAACCTCTCTACAACGTTCTCCTCTGTAGTAGGGACCAGTAAACTAACCTCTCTACAACGTTCTCCTCTGTAGTAGGGACCAGTAAACTAACCTCTCTACAACGTTCTCCTCTGTAGTAGGGACTAGTAAACTAACCTCTCTACAACGTTCTCCTCTGTAGTAGGGACCAGTAAACTAACCTCTCTACAACGTTCTCCTCTGTAGTAGGGACCAGTAAACTAACCTCTCTACAACGTTCTCCTCTGTAGTAGGGACTAGTAAACTAACCTCTCTACAACGTTCTCCTCTGTAGTAGGGACTAGTAAACTAACCTCTCTACAACGTTCTCCTCTGTAGTAGGGACTAGTAAACTAACCTCTCTACAACGTTCTCCTCTGTAGTAGGGACCAGTAAACTAACCTCTCTACAACGTTCTCCTCTGTAGTAGGGACTAGTAAACTAACCTCTCTACAACGTTCTCCTCTGTAGTAGGGACCAGTGAACTAACCTCTCTACAACGTTCTCCTCTGTAGTAGGGACCAGTAAACTAACCTCTCTAAGACGTTCTCCTGTGTAGTAGGGACTAGTAAACTGACCTCTCTACAACGTTCTCCTCTGTAGTAGGGACCAGTAAACTAACCTCTCTAAGACGTTCTCCTCTGTAGTAGGGACTAGTAAACTAACCTCTCTACAACGTTCTCCTCTGTAGTAGGGACCAGTAAACTAACCTCTCTACAACGTTCTCCTCTGTTTTAGGGACCAGTAAACTAACCTCTCTACAACGTTCTCCTCTGTAGTAGGGACTAGTAAACTAACCTCTCTAAGACGTTCTCCTCTGTAGTAGGGACCAGTAAACTAACCTCTCTAAGACGTTCTCCTCTGTAGTAGGGACTAGTAAACTAACCTCTCTACAACGTTCTCCTCTGTAGTAGGGACCAGTAAACTAACCTCTCTACAACGTTCTCCTCTGTAGTAGGGACTAGTAAACTAACCTCTCTACAACGTTCTCCTCTGTAGTAGGGACCAGTAAACTAACCTCTCTACAACGTTCTCCTCTGTAGTAGGGACCAGTAAACTAACCTCTCTACAACGTTCTCCTCTGTAGTAGGGACTAGTAAACTAACCTCTCTACAACGTTCTCCTCTGTAGTAGGGACTAGTAAACTAACCTCTCTACAACGTTCTCCTCTGTAGTAGGGACCAGTAAACTAACCTCTCTAAGACGTTCTCCTCTGTAGTAGGGACTAGTAAACTAACCTCTCTACAACGTTCTCCTCTGTAGTAGGGACCAGTAAACTAACCTCTCTAAGACGTTCTCCTCTGTAGTAGGGACTAGTAAACTAACCTCTCTACAACGTTCTCCTCTGTAGTAGGGACCAGTAAACTAACCTCTCTACAACGTTCTCCTCTGTTTTAGGGACCAGTAAACTAACCTCTCTACAACGTTCTCCTCTGTAGTAGGGACTAGTAAACTAACCTCTCTACAACGTTCTCCTCTGTAGTAGGGACTAGTAAACTAACCTCTCTACAACGTTCTCCTCTGTAGTAGGGACCAGTAAACTAACCTCTCTACAACGTTCTCCTCTGTAGTAGGGACCAGTAAACTAACCTCTCTACAACGTTCTCCTCTGTAGTAGGGACTAGTAAACTAACCTCTCTACAACGTTCTCCTCTGTAGTAGGGACCAGTAAACTAACCTCTCTACAACGTTCTCCTCTGTAGTAGGGACCAGTAAACTAACCTCTCTACAACGTTCTCCTCTGTAGTAGGGACTAGTAAACTAACCTCTCTACAACGTTCTCCTCTGCAGTAGGGACTAGTAAACTAACCTCTCTACAACGTTCTCCTCTGCAGTAGGGACTAGTAAACTAACCTCTCTACAACGTTCTCCTCTGTAGTAGGGACCAGTAAACTAACCTCTCTACAACGTTCTCCTCTGTAGTAGGGACTAGTAAACTAACCTCTCTACAACGTTCTCCTCTGTAGTAGGGACCAGTGAACTAACCTCTCTACAACGTTCTCCTCTGTAGTAGGGACCAGTAAACTAACCTCTCTAAGACGTTCTCCTGTGTAGTAGGGACTAGTAAACTAACCTCTCTACAACGTTCTCCTCTGTAGTAGGGACCAGTAAACTAACCTCTCTAAGACGTTCTCCTCTGTAGTAGGGACTAGTAAACTAACCTCTCTACAACGTTCTCCTCTGTAGTAGGGACCAGTAAACTAACCTCTCTACAACGTTCTCCTCTGTTTTAGGGACCAGTAAACTAACCTCTCTACAACGTTCTCCTCTGTAGTAGGGACTAGTAAACTAACCTCTCTAAGACGTTCTCCTCTGTAGTAGGGACCAGTAAACTAACCTCTCTAAGACGTTCTCCTCTGTAGTAGGGACTAGTAAACTAACCTCTCTACAACGTTCTCCTCTGTAGTAGGGACCAGTAAACTAACCTCTCTACAACGTTCTCCTCTGTAGTAGGGACTAGTAAACTAACCTCTCTACAACGTTCTCCTCTGTACTAGGGACTAGTAAACTAACCTCTCTACAACGTTCTCCTCTGTAGTAGGGACTAGTAAACTAACCTCTCTACAACGTTCTCCTCTGTAGTAGGGACTAGTAAACTAACCTCTCTACAACGTTTTCCTCTGTAGTAGGGACCAGTAAACTAACCTCTCTAAGACGTTCTCCTCTGTAGTAGGGACTAGTAAACTAACCTCTCTACAACGTTCTCCTCTGTAGTAGGGACCAGTAAACTAACCTCTCTAAGACGTTCTCCTCTGTAGTAGGGACTAGTAAACTAACCTCTCTACAACGTTCTCCTCTGTAGTAGGGACCAGTAAACTAACCTCTCTACAACGTTCTCCTCTGTTTTAGGGACCAGTAAACTAACCTCTCTACAACGTTCTCCTCTGTAGTAGGGACTAGTAAACTAACCTCTCTACAACGTTCTCCTCTGTAGTAGGGACTAGTAAACTAACCTCTCTACAACGTTCTCCTCTGTAGTAGGGACCAGTAAACTAACCTCTCTACAACGTTCTCCTCTGTAGTAGGGACCAGTAAACTAACCTCTCTACAACGTTCTCCTCTGTAGTAGGGACTAGTAAACTAACATCTCTACAACGTTCTCCTCTGTAGTAGGGACTAGTAAACTAACCTCTCTACAACGTTCTCCTCTGTAGTAGGGACCAGTAAACTAACCTCTCTACAACGTTCTCCTCTGTAGTAGGGACTAGTAAACTAACCTCTCTACAACGTTCTCCTCTGTAGTAGGGACCAGTAAACTGCCGCTCTTAAAACATTCCCTGAATCCCCCGTTCCTCATATCCATAAAGTTAAACATGCAGCAAACCTGAAAGTATAGTGTCCGTGAGTGTGACAGAAAGAAAACGTCTTCAAGTAATATGTTAACACGTGATGCCCAAATAAGGTAATGTTAACAACGTGTTACCCCACGTGATGCCCAAATAAGGTAATGTTAACAATGTGTTACCCCACGTGATGCCCAAATAAGGTAATGTTAACAATGTGTTACCCCATGTGATGCCCAAATAAGGTAATGTTAACAACGTGTTACCCCACGTGAAATTTTATAAGGTAATGTTAACAACGTGTTACCCCACGTGATGCCCAAATAAGGTAATGTTAACAATGTGTTACCCCATGTGATGCCCAAATAAGGTAATGTTAACAATGTGTTACCCCACGTGATGCCCAAATAAGGTAATGTTAACAATGTGTTACCCCACGTGATGCCCAAATAAGGTAATGTTAACAACGTGTTACCCCACGTGAAATTGTATAAGGTAATGTTAACAACGTGTTACCCCACGTGATGCCCAAATAAGGTAATGTTAACAATGTGTTACCCCACGTGATGCCCAAATAAGGTAATGTTAACAATGTGTTACCCCACGTGATGCCCAAATAAGGTAATGTTAACAACGTGTTACCCCACGTGATGCCCAAATAAGGTAATGTTAACAATGTGTTACCCCACGTGATGCCCAAATAAGGTTATGTTAACAACGTGTTACCCCACGTGAAATTTTATAAGGTAATGTTAACAACGTGTTACCCCACGTGATGCCCAAATAAGGTAATGTTAACAATGTGTTACCCACGTGATGCCCAAATAAGGTACTGTTAACAATGTGTTACCCCACGTGATGCCCAAATAAGGTAATGTTAACAATGTGTTACCCCACGTGATGCCCAAATAAGGTAATGTTAACAACGTGTTACCCCACGTGATGCCCAAATAAGGTAATGTTAACAATGTGTTACCCCATGTGATGCCCAAATAAGGTAATGTTAACAACGTGTTACCCTACGTGATGCCCAAATAAGGTAATGTTAACAACGTGTTACCCCACGTGAAATTTTATAAGGTAATGTTAACAACGTGTTACCCCACGTGATGCCCAAATAAGGTAATGTTAACAATGTGTTACCCCACGTGATGCCCAAATAAGGTAATGTTAATAATGTGTTACCCCACGTGATGCCCAAATAAGGTAATGTTAACAACGTGTTACCCCACGTGATGCCCAAATAAGGTAATGTTAACAATGTGTTACCCTACGTGATGCCCAAATAAGGTAATGTTAACAACGTGTTACCCCACGTGAAATTTTATAAGGTAATGTTAACAACGTGTTACCCCACGTGATGCCCAAATAAGGTAATGTTAACAATGTGTTACCCCACGTGATGCCCAAATAAGGTAATGTTAACAATGTGTTACCCCACGTGATGCCCAAATAAGGTAATGTTAACAACGTGTTACCCCACGTGATGCCCAAATAAGGTAATGTTAACAACGTGTTACCCCACGTGATGCCCAAATAAGGTAATGTTAACAACGTGTTACCCCACGTGATGCCCAAATAAGGTAATGTTAACAATGTGTTACCCTACGTGATGCCCAAATAAGGTAATGTTAACAACGTGTTACCCCACGTGAAATTTTATAAGGTAATGTTAACAACGTGTTACCCCACGTGATGCCCAAATAAGGTAATGTTAACAATGTGTTACCCCACGTGATGCCCAAATAAGGAACTAACGTCAGGGTCTGGCCCGCAGGAGTGTTGTTGTCCGTACGACACGAAAGGGCCCAGGTGAGTCAGCATATCTGTCACTCCCTCAGAATCTGAAGTATTGTGTGTCTTACTGAGTGATATTCTAGTATATTATATTCTAGTATATTATATATGATATTTAAATGGTGGTTAAGGGGTTTTCCAAAACTCCAGGGGCTCGTGAAGTGTCTTACACAACCTCTCCGAGCCCAAGATCCGTAGTGCGTGGTGAAGAGCCACACCCTTCTCGAGGTGCCACTGTTAAGCTTAGTAGCCTGTTCTGGGTGATTCCAGTTAAAACAGGTGAACGGTAACAGAACACTGCGGCTCTAGACCAGTACAGGTCGAAAAATATAACCGGGACATCTGTCTCGTTAGGACTGCATGCGGTTCATCGGGTGCGAAGGGCCAGCATCCCTTCCACCTCAAATAACAACGCTACAGAAACAACAAGGAAAAACCGTGATAGGAGTGATTCTCGGAATGCAAGGAACGGTGATTCCAGTATGAAGCGGTCTGGGCAAAGCCGCAAGGACCCCAGGACGCAGATGAGAACGAAGAGGTCACCTTATTGCCACAGTGTTATTAGTTCACACATCACCAACGTGAACGCCGAAAAAGGGAGATCATCCCCTTCAAATTTTATAAAAAACAGACTTAACTTGGGGACGTGGAATGTTCTGTCTCTGGAAAGCAGCACATCGAAGCTTTATGAATTGTCACAGAATGTTTCTAAGTACAAGTTGGATGTTCTGGGTCTTACGGAAACACATAGACCAGGTACTGGTGAGGAAATGCTGGATAATGGGTCATTGTTCATTTATTCAGGGAGATCGGATGGGCATAGGAGGCAGGGTGTTGGGTTGGTTCTGTCAAAAACCGTCAAGAATTCGCTTATCTCTTACACCCCTATGTCGGAGCGTATCCTAGCAGCTAGACTACATAGTCGGCACATCAATATTTCTGTTGTGGTGGCCTATGCTCCTACGGAGGATGCGCAGGATAGCGTTAAGGACGATTTTTATCAGCAGTTGGGTGGATCATTCGACAGCCTACCCAGTCACGACGTGAAGATTCTTCTTGGTGACTTCAACGCCAAGATTGGTCGCGACAACTCATCTTGGTCTGGGGTAATTGGAGGAGAGTCCTTACATGAGACGTCAAGTAATAACGGACTTCGGCTGTTGGATTTCTGTGCCATGTATCAGTTGACAGTTGGGGGAACATTGTTTCAACACAAGGACATCCATAAAGGCACCTGGAGGTCCCCCAATGGCCGTACTGTCAATCAGATAGATCATGTTTGTATCTCTACCAAGTGGAGTCACTCTCTTCTTGATGTTCGAACTTATAGAGGTGCAGGCATAGGCTCTGATCACTACTTGGTCAAGAGTCCTATGAGGATCAAACTGATGGTAATCAAAAAGATACAAGGGTCACATAGAAAAGCACCAGCTATCGAGCTTCTGCGTGACCAATCTAAGGTGCAGGAGTATTGCATCGCACTGCATAACCGATTCAGTGGTCTGCCGGCGGAAGAGAGTCTGGATGGAGAGTGGGAGTTGGTCAAGGAGGGCATCAAGGAGGTTTCTTTGGAGGTTTTGGGTCAACGCCCGCGCCGGAGGAAGAAGCAGCACTTGTCACAAGAGACAAAGGATCTCATCACGGAGCGGAGTAAGGTCAAGCAGAAATGCCCAAGTGATGGATTCACTAGATCTGAGTATTCTCTTGCTAATAAGCGTGTTAAGGGGGCAGGGGGGGGGTCTTTATGAAATTTCTCTCAAAATTGATTTTATAGTTGTTTCTAATAGAGGGGAGTGATATCTATCTGCTACTTTCGGTCCCATGGAAAAATTTTGTTCCTAGCCGAAATTATTGCCGGTCAAAGGTCAGCGCTCATGTGTAATTGTATTGCGCGAGCGATTTTCAATCGCGCGCCCTGAAAATCGAGTCTAAAAATCTATCTCCTCCTACATTTTTTGAGCAATCACCTTGAAACTTTCAGGATATGTTCTAAGGACCATTTAGAAACTTTTGCTCTTTTTAAAATTTCGAGATAGGCCTTTAAAAATTTTTTATTCGATTTTGAAAATCTTGGACCTGAAAAAATCGTCAAAAAACGGGGTCCAAGATTTTCAAAATCGAATAAAAAATTTTTAAAGGCCTATCTCGAAATTTTAAAAAGAGCAAAAGTTTCTAAATGGTCCTTAGAACATATCCTGAAAGTTTCAAGGTGATTGCTCAAAAAATGTAGGAGGAGATAGATTTTTAGACTCGATTTTCAGGGCGCGCGATTGAAAATCGCTCGCGCAATACACTTACACATGAGCGCTGACCTTTGACCAGCAATAATTTCGGCTAGGAACAAAATTTTTCCATGGGACCAAAAATATCTGGTAGATATCACTCGCCTCTATTAGAAACAACTATAAAATCAATTTCGAGAGAAATTTCATAAAGACCCCCCCCTGCCCCCTTAAGAAGAGCTGCAAGAAGGACGATGAGAACTGGGCTTTACGGGTTGCAGCCGATCTGGAAACAGCTTCTTCACACGGTCAGCAGAGGGAGGTCTGGCAGATGATCAAGTCCTTGTCAGGCAAGAAAAGTCGGAAGTCAACTGCTGTCAGAGATAAAACCGAGAAGTTGATTTCTGACCCCGCTGCTCAACGAAAACGATGGGGTGAGCACTTCGCTGAACTACTAAACCCGCAGATAGGAGACGTGGACCTTTCAGACCTAGACAGTCTAGAGGTCGCACCATGTTTTCCATATCTGAGTGATAGTGATATACCCCCTAGCAGAACAGAGATCTCTGAAGCTTTAAAGAGTCTGAAGAATCACAAGAGCCCTGGAATTGATGAAATTTCCAACGAACAGCTGAAGTATGGGGCTCCTGGTCTTTTAGACAGGCTTGAGAAACTGTTTGCACGTGTATGGGAGACAGAGAATGTGCCAGAGGATTGGGTTAAGGGTATCATTGTTATTGTCCCGAAAAAGGGTGATACATCATACTGCTCGAACAACAGGGGCATTACCCTACGCTCCACGGCATCAAAACTCTATCAGATAATAGTGTTGCGACGGATGAATGCGGGGCTTGAAGAACTGCTCCGAGAGAATCAGTGCGGGTTCAGGAAAAACAGGTCTTGCATAGATCAGATTTATTCGCTCCGTACTATTATTCACAACAGCATTGAGTTTAATCTCCCCCTTTACATAAATTTTGTTGACTTTAAAGCGGCATTCGATTCACTTAATCGGGACTTTATCTGGAAAGCTTTCAGTCATTATGGCTTGCCTTGTAAATACATTCGCATAATGCAAGCATTCTTTTGCGGCACCGTCAGCGCTGTCAGACATAATGGCGAGCTCTCTGAGTGGTTTGACGTTACATCTGGTTCTGGGCAGGGGGATATTCAGGGTCCACCTATCTTTAATGTTTGCATCAACCTGCCTGCGCAGCGGGTTGAGGATAACAAAGTGTTGTCACTCGGGGCAGTGCTGCAGAGAGCTACCACCAGCTCTGGTCAGGATACAGTCGTCCTGGATACTGACTATGCAGATGATTTGGCTATCATGGACAACACCAAGGACGGTCTCCAGGAGACGACTGATCTTTTATGCAAGTATGCGGCTCAGGCTGGCCTCAGAATCAATGCAAAGAAAACAGAGGTTATGGCCATCGGCAAGAATACATCACAGAGGCCATATACTGAAGCATCAACAGTGGACATTACAGTAGGAGACACGGCTATCCAGCAAGTCAGCAACTTCACTTACCTTGGGTCGATTATATCAAGTGATGGGACTATTGACCGGGACTTGTCTGCACGGATCCAGAAAGCCTCAGGAGCATTCAATCAGCTCGGTAATATTTGGAAGAATCGCAATATCCAAACTAACACCAAAATACGGATATATGTTGCAGCGGTTCTAACAATATTACTTTATGGAAGCGAAGTCTGGAACACTACTTCAAAGCAACTACATCGCTTCGAAGTTTTTCATCAAAACTGTTTGAGGAGAATCCTTCGAATTAAGTGGTTCCACCGGACGAGCAATGTTCAAGTGTTGGAGCGGGCAAGAATAAACCCGGTTATAACCTACATCAGTGCCAACCGTCTTCGCTGGTTTGGACATGTTTCTAGAATGCCGGACACCAGGCTACCAAAGTATCTATTTGATTGGACACCTGCTCACGGCCGAAGATCACGTGGGCGGCCAAGAAAGAACTGGCGAACCTGTGTCCTAGAAGACGCAGTAACATTCACAGGAGATCCAGACATTGTATTTGATAAGGTCCGAGAGTTGGCAGGAAACCGAAAGCACTGGAGAGAGATGATACGACATAAGCGGCAATTCCTTGGTGCAGGCCACTCGAATGATTGAGGAGACCTTATCAAGTATCAAGTAAGTATTTAAATGCTATTTTAATTTATATAAACAGGTATATATTATTATTATATATTATATATATATAAGTGTGACAAAGTAAACGATGTTTTCGTCATGAACTAAAAGTTTCTTGGATGTGTGAACAACAATCTTCTGAAGATTGTTGTTCACACACCCATGAAACTTTCGCCCGCGAGGCGAGTATGATATGTATTATATCCACAAGCGGGCGTTTATCACGAAGCTTTAGTTTCGAACAATCACAAACAAACAAAATGAGGGTGTGACTACAGACTTCAAAGACACATTTATGCAGGCAATTTTCACCCACATCTTTTTCATCTATAGACCCCAATAGATCTAAATAGTGTTACTAATTACTAACTCACCCCAGGATTGCCTCCATCTGAAATCTAAATTCTTAGTTTGTGCCAGATGGTTCTTAACAGCATAGTGCACCCTCTGAAATACTCGTGTTACCACAGCAACACAGCAACACTGTGTCACATGTTACCACAGCAACACGTGACACAGTCCGTGTAGAGTTTTGTAGAAATTGTCAAACACCTGTCGAATGTCGATGTATAATTGAGTTAAAATAGAAAATGTTGAACAATTGTTCACGCGAACATTTGATTAACACATTTCAAGATATGAGTAGATGAACTGTGGGGACTACAACCTGGGGACCCCAGTCTTACTTTTTAGTGTTTATAAACATGCAGATATGGCGAACTAAATATTCTAAACCTGGATGTGCATTCCAGTAAGTCCGAACAGTTTGTTAACATAGCCCATTGTAGGAGACAAACCAAACGGATCAATGGCCCAACCCGACTTTGGCATCGCCTCTGAAATAAGAGTTTAGATTCGGTCTTACCATTAAATAATTAATGCAAAAAAGTATTACTTTCATTTATTAATTCGTAAAATCCCGTAATGAAGGATTACTATTTTAATGTGATCAGTTGCGTGAGAGAAACCTGGTATGTTCTTCTTTAACCAGTCGTGACCGTCCAACATTTGATTGAAAATAGCAAAGTAATGCGTATTAGCTTCGTCATTCTGCACCCATCCTCCTTGTACAAACTCAAACCTACCCTCCTGTGCTAACCTGAGAGGGTGCAGCATAGTTAGTAGTTACCCTCCTGTGCCAACCTGAGAGGGTGCACCATAGTTACCCTACTATACAGGGTGCAGCATAGTTACCCTCCTGTGCCAACCTGAGAGGGTGCACCATAGTTACCCTACTTTACAGGGTGCAGCATAGTTACCCAACTATACAGGGTGCAGCATAGTTACCCAACTAAACCCGAAGTACCAGCCAAAGTTTACTCAAAAAATAGATATATAATAAGTGTTATAAATTCAAAGTCAAAACTCACACAAGATTAGATCTTATTAAAATGATTAAAATGGAGCTTGTCGAACAAAACATAGCTGAGCACATATAATAAAGTTGCCTTAGTTGAAATTATCATATTAATGCGCTTTTAGAGTTGTTAGAGTGGAAACAGGCGCATAGCTACGGCTATTCCAAAATTTTAAATTTAACGACCTTCTCATGTACTAAGAAGCTTAAGTTGATGTCTCTTCAGAGGTGGAGAGAGCGTTATTCTATTATTCATGTATGGAAAATTCTTAATGAACATGCTCCGAACGATACGGGTTTCGAGTTCAAGTCTCATCAAAGGCATGGAATTAAGGCAGAGATCCCAGCCATGAACAAAAGCGCACAGTTGTCGGTAAGAACAGATTACGACAACAGCTTTAGAGTTAGAGCAGCTCAGCTCTTCAACGTGCTCCCATCGGAGCTCCGGAGTACCACATTGCTAGACAATTTCAAAGTTTGTCTAAGCAGATTCATGGAACAGTACCCAGACACGCCACCAGTTCCGAGCTACACTCCGACAAACGATAATTCAATGCTGAGCTGGAGGAGGACGCACTCGATGCAGTTGTCCTGAGCACGCCCTGCCAAACTCACCAAAACGTACCAAAACGTACGTACGTACTATTATACAGGGTGCAGCATAGTTACTGTACTATACAGGGTGCAGCATAGTTACTGTACTGTACAGGGTGCAGCATAGTTACTGTACTATACAGGGTGCAGCATAGTTACTGTACTATACAGGGTGCAGCATAGTTACTGTACTATACAGGGTGCAGCATAGTTACTGTACTATACAGGGTGCAGCATAGTTACTGTACTATACAGGCTGCAGCATAGTTACTGTACTATACAGGGTGCAGCATAGTTACTGTACTATACAGGGTGCAGCATAGTTACTGTACTATACAGGGTGCAGCATAGTTACTGTACTATACAGGCTGCAGCATAGTTACTGTACTATACAGGGTGCAGCATAGTTACTGTACTATACAGGGTGCAGCATAGTTACTGTACTGTACAGGGTGCAGCATAGTTACTGTACTATACAGGGTGCAGCATAGTTACTGTACTATACAGGGTGCAGCATAGTTACTGTACTATACAGGCTGCAGCATAGTTACTGTACTATACAGGGTGCAGCATAGTTACTGTACTGTACAGGGTGCAGCATAGTTACTGTACTATACAGGGTGCAGCATAGTTACTGTACTGTACAGGGTGCAGCATAGTTACTGTACTATACAGGGTGCAGCATAGTTACTGTACTATACAGGCTGCAGCATAGTTACTGTACTATACAGGGTGCAGCATAGTTACTGTACTATACAGGGTGCAGCATAGTTACTGTACTGTACAGGGTGCAGCATAGTTACTGTACTATACAGGGTGCAGCATAGTTACTGTACTGTACAGGGTGCAGCATAGTTACTGTACTATACAGGCTGCAGCATAGTTACTGTACTATACAGGGTGCAGCATAGTTACTGTACTGTACAGGGTGCAGCATAGTTACTGTACTATACAGGGTGCAGCATAGTTACTGTACTGTACAGGGTGCAGCATAGTTACTGTACTATACAGGGTGCAGCATAGTTACTGTACTATACAGGCTGCAGCATAGTTACTGTACTATACAGGGTGCAGCATAGTTACTGTACTGTACAGGGTGCAGCATAGTTACTGTACTATACAGGGTGCAGCATAGTTACTGTACTATACAGGCTGCAGCATAGTTACTGTACTATACAGGGTGCAGCATAGTTACTGTACTATACAGGGTGCAGCATAGTTACTGTACTGTACAGGGTGCAGCATAGTTACTGTACTATACAGGGTGCAGCATAGTTACTGTACTATACAGGGTGCAGCATAGTTACTGTACTATACAGGGTGCAGCATAGTTACTGTACTGTACAGGGTGCAGCATAGTTACTGTACTATACAGGGTGCAGCATAGTTACTGTACTATACAGGGTGCAGCATAGTTACTGTACTATACAGGGTGCAGCATAGTTACTGTACTATACAGGGTGCAGCATAGTTACTGTACTATACAGGGTGCAGCATAGTTACTGTACTGTACAGGGTGCAGCATAGTTACTGTACTGTACAGGGTGCAGCATAGTTACTGTACTATACAGGGTGCAGCATAGTTACTGTACTATACAGGGTGCAGCATAGTTACTGTACTATACAGGGTGCAGCATAGTTACTGTACTATACAGGGTGCAGCATAGTTACTGTACTATACAGGGTGCAGCATAGTTACTGTACTGTACAGGGTGCAGCATAGTTACTGTACTGTACAGGGTGCAGCATAGTTACTGTACTATACAGGGTGCAGCATAGTTACTGTACTGTACAGGGTGCAGCATAGTTACTGTACTATACAGGGTGCAGCATAGTTACTGTACTATACAGGGTGCAGCATAGTTACTGTACTATACAGGGTGCAGCATAGTTACTGTACTATACAGGGTGCAGCATAGTTACTGTACTGTACAGGGTGCAGCATAGTTACTGTACTGTACAGGGTGCAGCATAGTTACTGTACTATACAGGGTGCAGCATAGTTACTGTACTATACAGGGTGCAGCATAGTTACTGTACTATACAGGCTGCAGCATAGTTACTATACTATACAGGGTGCAGCATAGTTACTGTACTATACAGGGTGCAGCATAGTTACTGTACTGTACAGGGTGCAGCATAGTTACTGTACTATACAGGGTGCAGCATAGTTACTGTACTATACAGGGTGCAGCATAGTTACTATACTATACAGGGTGCAGCATAGTTACCCTACTATACAGGGTGCAGCATAGTTACTGTACTATACAGGGTGCAGCATAGTTACTGTACTATACAGGGTGCAGCATAGTTACTGTACTATACAGGGTGCAGCATAGTTACCCTACTATACAGGGTGCAGCATAGTTACTATACCTTCTCATGTCCAGTTTAACGTCCACATCCTGCTCCTCCCACCACAACTTGAAGAACGACACCTGAAACAGTATTTAGATAGACGAAATATCTATATTCTTTGAAATTTATGTGCAATAATTACGTAAGTTATTTAAGGTTTGCCAGTGGTTACTTTTGGGCCATACGTTCTGTCGGAATTCAACTTATAGGAATAGTCCATTTAATGGTAAAATGGGCAAAGCTTTTACAGAATGCATAATCTGGCTGCTTGGGATGAATCTTATCTTGGTAATAATAGTAATTCCTGGTATTGTTAACCCTGGACCGCTTCCTCTAAGTGCAAATGTGGGGAATGCGGGTAAACTCAGTATTTACTTTCATCCGTCTACCCGTCTACCCGTCTACCCGTCTACCCGTCTACCCGTCTACCCGTCTACCCGTCTACCCGTCTACCCGTCTACCCGTCTACCCGTCTACCCGTCTACCCGTCTATCCGTCTATCCGTCTATCCGTCTACCCGTCTACCCGTCTATCCTTCTATCCGTCTATCCGTCTACCCGTCTATCCGTCTACCCGTCTACCCGTCTATCCGTCTATCCGTCTATCCGTCTATCCGTCTATCCGTCTATCCGTCTATCCGTCTATCCGTCTATACGTCTATCCGTCTACCCGTCTATCCGTCTATCCGTCTATCCGTCTATCCGTCTATCCATCTACCCGTCTATCCGTCTACCTGTCTATCCGTCTACCTGTCTATCTGTCTATCCGACTATCCGTCTACCCGTCTATCCGTCTATCCGTCTATCCGTCTATCCGTCTACGCAGAGTTTATAAAGTTTTTGCAAAATTAAAACATTATAATCGAGTGCGCTACACTTTCCACTTGATATATTTATTGGTGCAACTACATTGTAGGGAAAATTGATCGTGGGTGGTGTAACTGCGAACATGCTAGAAACTCAATTTGAATTTTTATTACAGTAGGTCATGAAATTTGCAGTAAGATCTGAAAAGACGCATAGTATATGTATGCTATATATAGCAAACGAATTTGAAATAACAAAGTTATCAAGGGCCAGCGTTAATCAAGCAATTCGTTTATTTCTTTAGCAAAATTGATTGGGTTATTTATATATGGGGGGGGGGGGGGGGGGGGGGGGGTATTTCACTAAAGGACTAATCATGTGAAAGCGTGATTCCCATAATGTGGATCTAGTTTAAACCCAATGAACGAACATTCAGTAAAAATGAGCATAGTTAAAATTCGATTTGTATATAGGGGGGGGGTGACACCTATATATACAATATTATATCATGGTATATAGGGGGGGTGACACCTATATATACAATATTATATCACATACCATGGTATTAATGTCCTTTAATTTACCTCTGCATAAATGAACTTGAAGTCAGAATGCTCCATAGCAAATATGTACAGCCAAGACAATATATATCGCACTTTATTCTCGTAGTATTTAGTATAAGTTTCCAGCCAGCCTGGAGGAGAACACAGTGAGATACTAATCTTACTATATATAAAGCGAGACGATATATGTTTATCCGTACCATTTTACTGACACCACGGCATCAACTTTAACGTGACTTTCCACAAAAACCGTAAAAGATATACAACTGAAACTTTTTTGACCGGGTCAAATGTTTTAATGGCCTCCAAATCAGCATGAAAAAATAAAAAATTGGCCAAGAAATAGAAGTTTTAGAGCCCCAAATTTGGACCCCCAAGTGGTGTCAAAAACGCGAATTAAATAGATAATAATTATTTTAGTCTCTTGAGTCTTGACACCATTTTAAGGTTATACGGGTTCCTGCTAGTAATAGTAACTGTTAAATACTATACTAATAATAATAGTAACTGTTAAATACTATATTAATAATAGTAACTGTTAAATACTATATTTTGTTAATTTTTAATGAGATTAATAAACATCAATTTGACGTAAGAAGTAAGACTGGATCTGAGATCTAGGTGTTACCTGGGTCGCAGTGCGAATGCGGAATAAGAAATACTCTCAAATTTTGTGAGTTTGGTAAAGGCTGCAAGTCTGGAAATGAGGTCTGGTTGTGCCCTGAAATCATATCAGCAGGTTAACTATACCAGATACTATACCAGATACTATACCAGATACTATACCAGGTACTATACCAGATACTATACCAGGTACTATACCAGATACTATACCAGATACTATACCAGGTACTATACCAGGTACTATACCAGATACTATACCAGGTAATATACCAGATACTATACCAGATAATATACCAGGTACTATACCAGGTACTATACCAGATACTATACCAGGTAATATACCAGATACTATACCAGATAATATACCAGGTACTATACCAGGTACTATACCAGATACTATACCAGGTACTATACCAGGTACTATACCAGATACTATACCAGGTACTATACCAGGTACTATACCAGGTACTATACCAGGTACTATACCAGGTACTATACCAGGTACTATACCAGGTACTATACCAGGTACTATACCAGGTACTATACCAGGTACTATACCAGGTACTATACCAGGTACTATACCAGGTACTATACCAGGTACTATACCAGGTACTATACCAGGTACTATACCAGGTACTATACCAGGTACTATACCAGATACTATACCAGGTACTATACCAGGTACTATACCAGATACTATACCAGATACTATACCAGGTACTATACCAGATACTATACCAGATACTATACCAGGTACTATACCAGGTACCATACCAGGTACTATACCAGATACTATACCAGATACTATACCAGATACTATACCAGGTACTATACCAGGTACTATACCAGATACTATACCAGATACTATACCAGGTACTATACCAGGTACTATACCAGATACTATACCAGGTACTATACCAGGTACTATACCAGGTACTATACCAGGTACTATACTATAGATTAAACAGGATTTAAAAGAAGAAAGAAAGATTACAGTGAAAGGTCTGGTGAATAATCCATACCAATACTACATAGGGGGGGGGGGGCTGGGGTGTGACACCTCCCCACTTACTACTACTTTACCTCCGTGGTCAAGGTGAAAATCTAACTCTTCTACCAAGGAGGAAATCTGAGGATTTAAATTTTAAATTTATGTAGAAAGATAATACACAATTGAAAACGGGTAGATCCGATTATTCAAACTATCAAATAAATGAAAATATTACTGGTTTTAAACAATCTTTGTAGCCATTGTTTTTATTTAAGTTCATTGTTGTTTTATTCCCTACCCACTCCCCCCCCCCCCCCCCCCCCCCCCCCCTTATAATATACGTTACCACAAGTTGGGGACTCAAATTTTAATACATTAATGATTAATTATTAATTTCTTATTATTGATACAACAATATATACAATAAAAACCTGACCTGAATGTCTGCTTTATTATTATTATCAAGTTTTATCTCCATACACGAGTCCATAACACTGACTTGTGAAGCTTCTGTTTTCTAAATAATGAAAACGAATTAGTGAACTTTCGGTGGTTGATAACTGGAAAAATGTACATTTCAATGTTCACAGTATGGCCTGGTTCACAGTATGGCCTGGTTCACAGTATGGCCTGGTTCACAGTATGGCCTGGTTCACAGTATGGCCTGGTTCACAGTATGGCCTGGTTCACAGTATGGCCTGGTTCACAGTATGGCCTGGTTCACAGTATGGCCTGGTTCACAGTATGGCCTGGTTCACAGTATGGCCTGGTTCACAGTATGGCCTGGTTCACAGTATGGCCTGGTTCACAGTATGGCCTGGTTCACAGTATGGCCTGGTTCACAGTATGGCCTGGTTCACAGTATGGCCTGGTTCACAGTATGGCCTGGTTCACAGTATGGCCTGGTTCACAGTATGGCCTGGTTCACAGTATGGCCTGGTTCACAGTATGGCCTGGTTCACAGTATGGCCTGGTTCACAGTATGGCCTGGTTCACAGTATGGCCTGGTTCACAGTATGGCCTGGTTCACAGTATGGCCTGGTTCACAGTATGGCCTGGTTCACAGTATGGCCTGGTTCACAGTATGGCCTGGTTCACAGTATGGCCTGGTAGCGGTATGGCCTGGTTCACAGTATGGCCTGGTTCACAGTATGGCCTGGTTCACAGTATGGCCTGGTTCACAGTATGGCCTGGTTCACAGTATGGCCTGGTTCACAGTATGGCCTGGTTCACAGTATGGCCTGGTTCACAGTATGGCCTGGTTCACAGTATGGCCTGGTTCACAGTATGGCCTGGTTCACAGTATGGCCTGGTTCACAGTATGGCCTGGTTCACAGTATGGCCTGGTTCACAGTATGGCCTGGTTCACAGTATGGCCTGGTTCACAGTATGGCCTGGTTCACAGTATGGCCTGGTTCACAGTATGGCCTGGTTCACAGTATGGCCTGGTTCACAGTATGGCCTGGTTCACAGTATGGCCTGGTTCACAGTATGGCCTGGTTCACAGTATGGCCTGGTTCACAGTATGGCCTGGTTCACAGTATGGCCTGGTTCACAGTATGGCCTGGTTCACAGTATGGCCTGGTTCACAGTATGGCCTGGTTCACAGTATGGCCTGGTTCACAGTATGGCCTGGTTCACAGTATGGCCTGGTTCACAGTATGGCCTGGTTCACAGTATGGCCTGGTTCACAGTATGGCCTGGTTCACAGTATGGCCTGGTAGCGGTAAGATTTAGGATCTTGAATTTATAAACTGAAAAGTTATTTCTTAGCTGTTTAAGAGGGCAAGGCCAGGGTCTTCATGGAAATTCTCTCGAAATCGACCTTTTAGTTTTTCTAATAGAAGAGAGTAATATCTATCAGCTGCTTTTGATCCCATCGGTCAAAGGTCAGTAATTGTATCGTGCAAGCGATTTTCAATAGATTGCTCACTGAATAAAACAAAATTTAAATAAAACAAAACTTTATTTTATACCCACATTCAATTCATATTTAGTTCAATACAAATATTTAAAGTCAAAATAACCATTTCACAGAAGTGGTTTTATTATAATAAAGCCATTTGTAATAAGTGTACAACTACAAGTGATAAATTAATAAATTAATTTACACTAAACAAGAATTCTTGATGAGCGCTGTAGTTCGGAAATATAAACCAGTGCGCAGAACTAGTGTTGCAAAGTAAAAATTGTGTCAAGTCATTTGTAAATTTTTTCCATTCACACGCTTTTGTAAAAAAGCAATAGTGAAAGGTTACAAATGGTATTTTTTGCAGAAAAACATGGATTTTGGAGAACGAGGTAGGTGGGTCTGAATATGTTGTCATTCCTTTCGTTAGTTACCATGTCTGGCTCGTGATATGTAGATAAATACACTTAAAAGCCGCGCCTGCTCGAGACCTAATTCCTGTGTGAGACCTAATTTTTCCGTTCGACCTAGTTTCATCTTGGTGACAGTAAATAAAACTTCTTTTTTTTCAAAACTTTTTTGATTTTCCTGATAGTTTCAGGGTGATTGCTCAAAAACTGTAAAGGAAGATTTTTTAGACTCGATTTTCAGAGGGTGCGATTGTTTTTGTTTCTTCGAAACAACACTGGGGGCGACATGACATGACACCTCCACCCACTTTGACCTTTGACCGGCGATGAATTCAGCTAGGAAGATTTATAATAACTCTATTTAAAAAACTAAAAATTCGATTTCGGGAAAATTTGCACGAAGACCCCCCTGCCCCCTAATAGGCTCAAAGAACTTATTTATTATTATTAACTTGAAATTTTAATTAAACATACAAATGGTTGTAATCTGGGTAATGTGTTATCTGTCTGTAGCGTGTCTAGGTGCTCAATATCCTGAAATTGAATAAGATAGGTTTATCACATTAAACAGATTAAACGATTCAAAAGTCAAATTACATGGGAATGTCTGACCCCACATGAATAAATCTCTCAGGTTTGGAGATGCATCATCCCAGGGCCTTCCGAGTGATAGGGTTACAGTGACTGCTAGTAGAGAAAATATGAGTATCGGGCATTGGCTCGACCTCCGAGGCGGGGTATCCGTGAGGCGTGAGGACCCTGGTCGTAATCAGCTCTGCACTGTTTCAGTGTATCATGATGCCTGAAATCTCGGACACTGCCTGCGTACGGGGTAGACAGCCACGGATGATTTTGTCTGTGATTTTTTTCATCACTTCCTGACATGAGCCAGACCTCAGCTGGATCCTTCCTATCCCTTTTTTTTTACTTCCCGTTCAATCTACCTCTTCATTATCAGTTAGAGCTGCCTTGCATTCGAACTTCGCCCCCACAGTTCACCACGACACCTCTTTTGGAGGCCTTCTGCCGGGCAACACTAGCTCTCAGACACTGGCTAACTTACCGCACACGGCTTAGTTTCTGTGTCTTTTCCGTGGCCGTGTGTGCCGTTTTGTGCCGCCCTCTCTGCTGTTCTCACGTTTGCGCTCACCCACTTTTCAGTGGGCTGTTCATTTGACAGAGATACTGGCTGGCACTCTCATCATTTTCTCACTCACCATCACTGCCCAATCAAAATTATGCAATCAAAATCACTATACACCCACGATCATATGAACAAAACACAAAGCTTTGAAATATATATTTTTCTGTTTGAGATAACGTTACTAACACGTCAAAATGACGACATTTTTCGCTTTTAATTTTATTTGTGTTTATCTTCTGGAACTGCAGATGATACATAAAATATACAAGTATCATTTTCGATTTTTTTAAACTTTGTCTACTAGTGAAAGAAGTAAGAATTATAAATAATTTTGATCTCTGAGTTTGAGTAAACTTTAGCCTTTAGACGAAACTTTTTTAATTCAAACCAAAAAAATTTAAATATTTTATGTTGAAAGAAAACATTAGAATACTAAATATGTATTTGAAATGTTCAATAAAGAAATAACAATTTATTCACAAACCTGTGAGGTGTATTGAAACATGAGGAAAACAGTGAAGCAGACTACCATCAAAAAAAGCCATTTTCCGTATGTTCGTCGTATCATCACAGCTAGAGCGAATGAAAAGTTACTTTGAAAGTTATTTTAATACCCATTACCATAACTTACCTACATTAAAGATGAATATGCATAATGCATATCGATGTACCTTTGGGTCAATTTACTGGTACAAGGACGGTACTTCACCAGCAAGTAAAATACGGTCATTCACAGTAAAACCCTGATCTTCCATAGCAGTGGCCAGGGATAGAGCCGTTAAACTGGAAATTACATGGGTGCTCTCAAGACTTGAGGTAAATCGTTGTTTTGATTGTTTACATTATGTATGTTAAACCCTATTTGGGGGAAAGGAAACATCCGTGGTAAATCAGGGTTCAGGGTAAATTTGTGTTTTTTTTTAACATTATACATGTTAAGCTCTATTTTGGGGAAAGGAGATGGCTGCAGTGAATCGGGGTTTGCGGTAAATTCCTAATTTGTTTTTTAGTATATAAATGAAGTGTTTTGCCGTGAATATTAATTTCCAATAAACTTGTTAATTTTCCAATAAACTTATTAATTTTCCAATAAACAATGTTTTCAGTGTTGAAAGTTTAGTTTCTTAAATCCTGGAGTAGTCATTCGTGTCCCTGATATTTGGGTTAATTCTAACTCTCCCTTCCAATAAACTTAAAATTTTAACTTGATGAATGAAATGAAATTGTGCCAATAAAAGATATCCACTTCTTTGATCTTTCAGATTTGCAAATTAGGAGAGAATGTGCCAATCCAACAGCACGACCTCGCAGCAACTCTTCGGATCACACTTTTTCGAGAATGAAGATGAGAAGGCAGACACAATAAGGAAAGCAAATTATATCGCTATGTTGCGTGGGAATGGCCGATAAATCTTCAAAATAAACGTGCAAATTTTCTAGTTCAAACCTCTCTATACCAAGCTTCCCCGAGGAAACAAAAAGTGCCCGGTAGAGAAAAAGCCATAGAGAGGTTCACATGATACGAATTCCTAGTATCTAAGGCCTCTCAAATAACCTGTCAAATGTCTCATATACTCCATTAGTACGCGAAACAGATAATTTCAGCAATGGTAATTGTCTAGCTATTATAAGGATAGACACCCTCGAAAAATGAATAAACAAATAAAATAGATTAAATGTTATTTATTTTATTTGTATACAAATGATACAAGTTTTAAAAACCAGGGTAAAAAATAAAACCATTGGCCTTTGTAAAGTTGTAATATATGACTTACTGTAATATATTAATGGTTTTTAGCAAGGGGCCATCTACTTAGGACGTCCGGCACTACTATATAACAAATAAGTTTTAATACTTCCAACACTACTATATAACAAATAATTTGAGGATGTACCATGGAAGTCTAGAGTACCCGCAACAAGAAATGCAGCTGTAAACGACTTGGTAACGGGGTGCATGTGAGCTCTGGGGGCCAGTGGCATCAGAAGACTGGCTATCAGCCTTGGAAATAAGATGAGTTCTTTAGATTCATGTCACATCTGCACTGCATCTCCATCACAATGACACAAACTCTTTCTCCTTCACTACCCTACCCTACCCTAGCCTAGCCCTACCCCTCCCTCCTTTTACCTGTTGCGGGTACTCTGGACTGCATGGACATCCTTGAATAGAGGTATTTTATATAGTAGTGTTGTGGTATTATACTGTGTACATGTATATATATTCTATCCTATATTATATATCAATATATTCTATATCTATATTATATACTGTATATTTTATATACAAACTTTTCCTTACCCCCACCTCCCCTTCCTCTATAAATTGTACTCAAATCCCACACCCAACCTGCTATTGACTTACTAAATAACCTCTATATCTCTACATTGGGCCATAGCAGTCCACCCCGCTCCCTTCCCCTCCCTCCCCTATTCCACCAAGCACCAACATCTCTCCAAATCACATCATAAACTTTCATGTAATTAGACCTTGTGTTCCTTTTTTATTTTATTTTGAAAATGATTTTGTTTAACTTTACCTCTTTACCTGATATCACTCACCCCTGTCAAAACTGTGTTACTCTCATTATCTTATTTTCAGGCTGTTGGTTGGTTTGATGGTGCCCTGGCCCCCATCTCATTATGTGCTCCCTACCATCTATTCTTCATGCAAGACAGAACTCTTACTGAAGATAATTCTCGATCAACGAGATCGAGAAACAACTCCTCTCCCCTGGATGGAAATGTTATTGACTTTACGAAACCTATCACCATCACAACGCCCGGATGCTATGTGCTTAGCAATCCTGACTCTGGTTGTAGAATCAGTCTCTTTCAGGATGTGTTTGCAAGCCAACTGTGTGACCAATTTTCCTCTGAAATCGAAAATACTGGCACCCTTAAACAGTACAACTCAATCCATAGGCAGTCTCAGGCGCCACTTCCAAGACTCTCGTCATGGTTTGGACCCGTAGACTATGCGTTCTCAGGAATCGTAATGAAAGCTAATTCTGTCTCCCAATGTCCTCGCCTTATTGCAGCATATCAGAACATGGCCGAAAACCTCTTCACACCCAACAACATTGATTGCTCCTCTGACTGCTTTTTGATCAACCAGTATAGGACTGGACGTGATTCCTGTGGTGAGCACAGTGACAATGAGCCAGAGGTCGACCTCTCAAAACCTGTCGTTACTCTGTCACTTGGCCAACAGCGCTGCATGCTCATCAGAGAGGCTAAGAACCCTGGAAATGCCATCACAGTCAAACTCGACCAGGGTTCAGTTCTTGTAATGCATGGTACTGATTTCCAAAAGAAGTATACGCACCAAATACCCAAAGATAATGCGATCACTAATTCACGTACCTCTGTGACCTACAGGACCTGCAGCTCCACTTTCCTAAGAAACCGAAGTGCCCTATCTACACCCCTGAAAGAGATATCTATCACTCCTATACTTGCCCCCAAGACCCCTGGAGTCTCAGGCTCACCATCGCTACCTCTGCACAACAGACGTAGATCCTCCTTGTCTCTGTCTAGCTTCTCACAAGTTGACACCAGCTCAGTTGGGTCTCCAGTGGCCAGTAGTTCTCCTTCCATAACCAGCAGCAAAACATCAGTCTCTGATAGTGATACATTGCCTCTCAGCATAGAAGCCATGCTTGAAGCCATTGATCTAATGAAAGACAAAACCGTGAAAAGCGAACTTTCTCGCCATGGCAGCACAAACTCTGGAACACCTCTGGATTGTAAGAAAAGACTGAAGAAAGTTGCGAAAGCATGTCACAAACGCCTGAGCACGCTTCTTGTTGAGCCTCCAGTAGTCTCAGCTGAGCCCGAATGCGTTACCCATTCCCTCCAAACTTTGGAAAACTCTGTTATTGATCTACAATCCAAAATAAGTCTACAACATAGCACCCTCCAAACACTTGTCTTATGTTCTGACAGTAATTCCAATCAAAAAGGTAGTGTCAGCCCCCCTAACCTGTCTAATGAACTCAACACTATGGACAAGAGACTTGAAAAGTTAGAGGATATAATGAGCAGCATAAACGAAAAACAACATGAAACTGCTACCTCCCTTAAAGCCTTCGAAGCAGATGTCACTGCAATTAAGAACAAAGTAGATGACTCTAAGGCCTGCCTACAGTCTCTCCAGCTTAATGACCGCACCACCCCATCCAGAAAAAAGCCATCGCCTCATCCTCAAAACCAGAACCACCCAACCAGCCAACCCACAGCCCTAGTAGACAAACACGAAAACCAAAAAAGGTTCTACTCCTACATGACTCCCAGATGAACAACTTTCTACCTGAGTCATTTTCCTCTGGGTTCAAGGTGGAAAAAATGAAAGTAGGCTCTTATACTGACATGATAAAAGACCACTGTATGAGAGATGTCATTAAACAGCCAGAGGTCGACTGTTACATTCTCCAGCTTGGAGTCAATGCTCTGTTAATAAAGCGATTGAGGATGCAAAATCAGTCATCGATAAACTCCTCTCGAGCTCCAGTGCAAAGGTTGTCATCTCCCTACCCACCCCAACCCCTGGATTAATCAGTGAACTTACCAACCAATTTGTCTCAGAAATAACCCAATTTGTCTCAGCTAAAAGAGGGTTAAGTGACTTTTACCGCCGCCTATATACTGTAAACAATACTGGAAACTTTTCCCGTGCCATCTCTGTTGCTGAGTCATCCCAAGACTCTCCTAACCCATTGAAGGAGGACCAACTTCATGTCTCAGAGTATGGTTTGAAAAAACTTTGTTTGAATATTAAACTTGGCCTATACCGTGCCTTTGGTATGAGATCCCATAGAAAGCAGCCCCCTACAGAGCATTAGATTAACCCTAAAATTCAAGAAAAAACAAGTATCACGAGATCAAGTCGCTGTGATGTCCTGGAACATCCAGGACAGCACAGGAGACGGGTCTAACAAATTTGAAAATAGCGAATTTTTGTCAATCCTAAAACAAGCTAACATTCTTTGTCTTCAAGAAACAAAGAAGCAAGTTAAGATTGAAGGATACCTCTCTTTTAATAGCAACCGCAAAAATTCACGCTCAGGAGGGGTCTGCATTCTTGCGGAAAATGACCTAAGAAAAGGTGTCTCTAGTGTGCTTTGTAATGAATCTGATGACATTATTGTTGTTAAACTGGACAAGAACTTTTTTAAACTTGATTTTGACCTATTTTTGGTATGTTATTATATTAGCCCTGCATACTCGTCCTATGTCAAGAAGAATCCAGATTATACTGCTAATACCTTCTCTGCTCTTGACTCTATCTGTATCAGACTACGTCAAAAGGGAGAAGTTATTATGTGTGGCGATGCAAATGCAAGAACTGGAAAACTCCCAGACTATATCCTTTCCTGTAATGCACCTGCCATCCATGACATCTATAACGACATTGGACTCGAGCACGACATAGAAGAACCAAGAAACAATTCTGACCTTACAATATCTGAACCCCACTGCCAACACTTCCTTGACATGGTTATCAATAACCAACTCAAAATTCTTAATGGTCGTACCCTTGGGGACACCACTGGAAAAATGACCTGTCACAAATACAATGGAAGCAGTGTGGTTGACTATTTTGTAATCACCTCATGGGCAAGAGATCATGTAAACTCTCTCCAAGTAAAAGAGTTCACATCATACTCTGATCATTGTCCATTAGTCTTGAAACTCACTACATTTGAACCATTTGTCGCAAACTTCCAGCTCCCAGACTTTTCTAACTTTCCTTGTGGCTATAAGTGGGACAACAACACCTCCCATTCACTATTTAAAAAAGCCCTTACCTCGCCCGAAATTATCAACAATCTGGAAAGCATTGTGACAAATGAATTTAGCAGTACTCTGGAGGGCAATCACGAACTGAACGATGCAGTCATAAAATGTCTCCACAGTGCTGCTGATATAGCCTTAAAAGTGAAAAAGCCTCCCAAAAATTCTGCCCGTAAAAAATGGTTCGACCCACAAGTCAACTCCTCGCGGCGGAACCTTAATAGGCTAGCAAATCGGCTTGGTAGTAAGCACTGTAACAGTATCCTCAGACTAGAATATTTTAAGCAACGCAACAAGCATAGCAATTTTGTAAACAGTAAGAAAGTAGCTTTCCTTAAGAAGTTAAATGAAGCTATAGAAGAAGGTCACATACTCGACTGGAAAAAATTTAAACGGCTTAAACAAGAACATGACACTAGCCCCTTACTTGACAAATTTGATTTAGCTTCCATGACTTCTTTGCATCCCTTTATAAAAAACCAGACCAGGAGCCAGATCTCACTCACCACAATCTTAAACATTACCCTGAACCACCAGATCTGGATATCCTAAATAAGCTCATGTCAGAATCTGAAGTGACTTCTGCCATCAAAAATCTCAAAAAAGGTAAAAGTTGCTCAAACGACTTGATATCCAACGAGATGCTTCAGAGCGTAACTCCGCTTTGTCTCAAAGCCATCCTCAAAAACTTCAACCACTCACTGGTCTCCGGTTACTATCCATGGCACACCAGCATCATTACTCCTATTTACAAGTCTGGCAACCCTTTCAGCCCGGACAACTACAGAGCAATAGCTGTTGGTAGCTGTATGGGTAAACTGTTTTCTAGCATCTTACTTGAGCGTCTCCTGCACTTCAAAAAGCTCTACTGCCCTGACCCAAAAGAACAACTAGGGTTCTCGAAGGGTGCTCAAACAAATGACCACGTTTTTACCCTTAAGACAGTCATTGACAAATATACCAAGGTTAAGAAAGCTCGCCTCTATGCATGCTTTGTTGATCTAAGAAAGGCCTTTGACACTGTATGTAGGGACCTCCTTCTGCACAAAATCACATGCCTTGGAATAACTGGAAACTTCTTCAATTGCCTAAGTGATATGTATAGAAACTCAATAGCTCATATAAAAATCTCCAAACTCTTGTCCCCTAATATTGACATTGGAAAAGGAACAGAGCAGGGACACCCTCTATCACCGGACCTTTTTAAAATCTATATCAACGACTTGTCATCTCTCCTGAAATCTGTTGGTGATTATCCTATTCTAGCTGACGTCTTAATATCACATCTGCTCTGGGCTGACGATCTTGTCCTACTTGCCCTAAGTCCCAAGGCCTTGCAAGACAATATAAACATCCTATTCGACTTCTGTAACTCTAT